GGGGGGGGGGGGGGGCCCGTGGGCGGCTGGCCCGCCGCGGCCGGGGCCTGTCTAGCAGTGGCGAAGCAGCGCCCTGGCGTGCCCAGAGGACTACCAAATAGAGTTCTGAGAACCGCTTCGTGGTTTGCACGGGATGTTCTTGGACCATTTTTGGCTGGGACGGTCTTGTTTTAACACATCGGTGTTTCGTTATGAGAACCTTGTTTTCGTTCTGGAAGAGCAGTTTTGGGTTCTGAGAACATGTCGTGGCAGGCCTATAAGAGTGCCGGGGCGGTCGGTCCCTGCTCAAAGCTTGGGGTCGCCGTGGAGAACCGATGGTCCTCACAACGTGTGTTAGCGCCAGCGTGTGTCTGTCCACCGATCCTCCCGCTCCCCCCGCGCGGCCGCCCTCTTCTGCTTCCTCCCTCTTTGCACGCCGGCCAGTTCGCTTGTCGGTTGCCCCGAATAGCCACACCCTGTTGGCACGAACGAAATGGGTACGAAAAGAATGGAACAGGACTCGCTGTTCGCGCCGCCGCGGTCTGCGTCCATTTGAGACAGAAGGCCGTCTGCCCAACAGCGGCCGCTGTTGGTTTGGGACAACATTTGTTGTTGGGCCTTGTACCCATTTTTTCTGTACCCATGTCGGGCGTTCAAACCTTGGAGCGAACTGCCCCTGCCTCGCCGCCGACAAAAAAAGTGTTGTCCACCGAGGCCCGTCAGTACGACGTAGGCGGCACAACGAGGGCCGACACGGGCTGCGCGCCATCGGCGGAACCGAGCGGGGAGAACGCGCGCTTGGGCCAGCACGCGTCCTGAGGATCATCGAAAGAGGCGCCGCGCGCGTCATGCGGGAACGGGGTCCCGTTGTCTTTTCCTGGTAGCGTTTCTCTAGAGGTTTCGGATGGTGAAGACCGAAGAAGGAAAGAGGCATAAGAGCGTAAGCTTTCGACAGGCCGCGCTGATTTCCATGATCCGCGCTGGACCCCCTCGGCGCGCCCCGGCGCAGATCCAAGATTTCCACGTGGACGTTCGGCAGTTTATGTTTACGTATGCAGTTGTTCCTCGTCTAGGTCAAAGGGGAACACTGCAGGCGAGTCCCACAGGGGGGCGGGGAACCCTAGACCGCCCCGTCCGGCACGGTCCGGCGGCCGTTTCGCTTGAAAGTTCCAGTTTTGTCAGGAATTTTGCTCTCGCCTCATGTGTTCTACATTGATGGGCCTGTTTTCCACCACCACCACCACCAGAAGTTGAAGGGGGAGGGGGTCCTCCTCCTCCTCCTCCTCCTCCTCCTCCTCCTCCTCCTCTTCGTCCTCCTCTCCTCGTCCTCTTCCTTCCCCCATCCAACTTGTGGTGGTGGTGGTGGTGGAAGACAGGCCCATCATGCATGTTTGGTTCGGAGGGCCACGCTCCCGTCTAACATTACGTCGGGCGTGCCCCCCTACAGGGGGGTTTTCGACGAAAAATGAAAAAATACCACCAAAAAAAAACCCAAAAGGTCAAACACATACCCCGAAAATAGTCCCCAGAGTATGGTTGGATTAAGAATATTTTTCCGGTATTTTTTTCCGTCGAAAATCCCCCTGTAGTGGGACAGGCCCGACTTACGTCCAACATATACACGAAGGTGCACACGGCCGTGCGCCCACCCCTTCCGCGGCCGCTCTCGCACCCGTCCCGGCGTCCCGGACCTCGTCGCCTCGGCCGCCGCCGGGCTGCTCTCCTTTGGGGTGTCGTTGCACCATGCTCGTCCTCGTTTCCTGCGGCCCTCACCGAGCCCCCATGTGGCCGTCCGCGACGACCCGGGGCGAGAAGTTGGCCCCAGAGGGAACGCTGGGGCCCAGGACCCGTTTCCCTCAGCACCTGCTTTCTGATGGCAGCCAGAGTTGCAGGGATGCAGGCCCAGGAGGAGGAGAGGTAGGAGGAAGGGGACGGCGACGGGGAGGAGAGCGGGAGAACAGGAGCAGCAGGAGCGCCCAGACGGGAAAAGTGCGGAGGGCGACGAGGAGCGCGGTGGAGGAGGATGAGAGGAGGATCGAGCTGTACTGCAATCTTGGAGGATGAGAGGAGGATCGAGCTGGACCGAGGATTGAGTCGTGGCGCGGTGGAAAAGTAAGGAGAAGGCGTGGGGGAAGAGCGGAGAATCTGGCCAAGAGTTCCGTGCACCATCCCAAGAGGGAGAGCGCCTGTCCGCCGCAGTGCCCGCGCTGTTCTTCGAGAGCATGCTGTCACGCCTCGCTTCAAAGGTAGAGGGAGCAGTATTGGTCATGAGCCCGCCAACTATCACTGTCTACCTGAATTATCTTACGTTCACGTTGTTACTGGTAGGTTGCACGAGACAGGGACGAAGAAGAGGTTGCTGTAGAGGATGTGCTTTCCGTTCTCTTCGATGGGACATTCATGAACCGTTTCTGTATCAACCGGCCAGTCTCATCAGCGGGGTCGCTTAAGTCATCCTAAGTCTTGCGATCCCGAGCTCCCAGTAGGTGAAGGCCCCAGCTGTTTTGGGTCCCTGTCGGTGAAAGACGAGGTTCCATATCATACGATTTGCTCTATCCGGTCAGCTTAAGCCTTCCCCCCAGGTCCTCTCCTCCGCCGCCTCTCGATGTATGAGTTCGGCGGTCGAACGTCCCCCCCCCAGACCAGTCTGAGGGTGCGCTCTGCCCCGAAATATCGGGGAGAAGCCGATCGTGGCCGCAGGGGCGCCCTGCCAGGAGGCCCAAAGAACATCACAAAGGCCTCCATCCCCTCGGGTCGGACGAAGGGGGGAGGGGACTGTGGAAGGGGGGGTTGGTGGGCGAAATCTGCTGCGTGCAGCTGGCTTCGACAAGATGGGGGAATATGTGAGAGGATACGGAGCACGAGGAGGAGGAGGAGGAGGAGGAGGAGGAGGAGGAGGAGGAGGAGAGAGGAGGGAGAGAAAGGAGAGGAGGATGGCGGTATGATAGCAGATAGGGTGATCACAGGTTGGCCGACACGAGAGCGGCGGACGGTAGGCGATGGTCACAGGGGGGAGGTTAATGTCGTAAGATCTCAATGCCAGCTCCATCGCGCAGGCACATCCTCACCCCACTGTCCCTCCTTTTCCCCGTCCGCTCCGCCCTGCTCCTTTTAAGCTCCCTCCCTCTCCTCCTCTTCCTCCTCCTCCTCCTCCTCCTCTCCTCCTCCTCCTCCTCCTCTACCCCCATCTCTCCCGCTCTCTTCTACATCCCCCTGCTCTCTCCCTCGTTTCCTCTTCTTCGTGAAACCTCCCTCTCCTCCTCCTCCTCCTCCTCCGCCTCCTCCTCCTCCCTCCTCCTCCTCCTCCTCCTCCTCCTCCTCCTCTCCTCCGACTCCCCCTCCCCGCTTCGCTTAGAATCCTCGCCCCGCCCCTCTCCTCCTCATCCCTCTCCTCCCTTCCTCTCATCCTCATCCTCATCATCATCCTCATCATCATTCTATGTGTTGTGTTTCGCTGCACGGGCATGGGCTGTAAATGTACAGCTGTTGCGTCTATGCGGGCACTCGCGTGTAGAGTGTGAGTACGACTTGAGCGACCTGGAGCTTAGCACAACAAGCGAAACACGCATGCAACAGGACGCACATTGTGGGAAAGAAAGCTAGGCAACGAGAACAAGTGCGAAAACATGAGCCTACAAGGACATCGAGTAAGGGTGGGAAGGACAACCAGACCGATGTGACTATAACCAGAAGGTGGACACCGATGGATGAGGTGATCGAATCAATGTGCGGCACTCGGGGCAGCAACTCTAAAGTATGCAGGTGTGGCCTCCTCCCTCCTCCCCCTCATCCCTCTCCCTCTACTCCTTCTCCCCCGTCCTCCTTCCTCCCCCCTCTCCTCCCCTTCCTCCTTCTCCCCTGCCACCCCCCTCCTTCCTCCCCCCTCCCTATCCGATCTCCCCCCCCCCCTCCTCTCCTCATCCCCCCCCCCGCTGCCCCACCCACCCATCCCTGGGAGCCCCCATCCCTGGACAGGAGCAGTCGCGAACCCTGAGGAGCCGCGAGAAGGGGGACCGCACCGGCTCCAACACGTCCGGGAGCCTCCGCGGGCTGCCGACACTCGCGCGCTGCAGGGGGCGGGCCTGCTGGCCCGAGTGTGCCCCCGAGCCTTGCCAGGGAGGCAAGGGCGCCCTCGAGGGCGCGAAGTTATTCGCGCTTCGCGCTTCGCGGTTCGGCTCCGATTCCTCCTCGTCCTCCTCTTCTCCCCTGGGAGGTGGCGCGAGAGGGCGAAGTTATTCGCACTTCGCGCTTCGCGCAGCGCGAAGCGCGAAGTTGGGAGCCCTTAGGGAGGCCCGGGCCCAGGGATCCCACGCATGGAGCAGATCAGGACCGGCCCCCCGTGGCTGTGAACAGAAAGGCTCGGGGTGAGACCTTGGCCCCGGGGAGGGGGTCCTGGACTTCCGGGGGCCCCCTGTTGGAAAGAGTCCAGAGGTCGGATGTCTGGGGAGGTGTCCTCGAGGGGCGCCCCCTCAGGAAGGCCCACAGACCGCGCCAAAGCGGGGGGCACCTCGGGGCAGGGTCACCTCTGGCAACCTCTGGATGGGGATGGGTGGATGACGCGGGGTGGACCACCACGAGGGGCGGTGCAGGGTGGAAGGGAGGACGCTGCTGCTTTTTGATCTTGGACGTGGGTTAGCGTCAGGCCGCGACGGCAGCGCCATAGCTCCCTGAAAGATCGCGGGCCGCGCGGGCGGCGAGGGGTCCAGCCAGAGGGCCCGAACAGCGGCATGAACGGGGAGGGGAAGGAGAGGGCGTTGATATGAACGTGACGGATTGCGATATTTATTTGATTTGTTCCCAACCATGTTGTGGTGTTGGGTCCTCGTTTTGAAGAAGCAGTCCCCGCGTTCCTCCTTCCTTCCTCCTCCCCCTCCTCCTCCCTCCTCCCGCCACCCCCCTCACTTTGGCGCATCCCTCACACGTTTCGTGGCCCCATAGTGAGCTCCACCGAAGGCCCAAATGCCAGCGTTCGCATGCGGCCACTGCGCCCATGTTTGGCACACCCCTCACATGTTCCGTGGCCCCACAGGGAGCCCCACCGGAGGACCAAATGCCAGCGTTTGCATGCGGCCATCGCACCTATTTTGGCACATCCCTCACACGTTTCGTGCCCCGACAGGGGGTCCCACCGGAGGCCCAAATGCCAGCGTTCGCATGCGGCCACCGCACCCATGTTGACACACCCCTCACACGTTTCGTGGCCCCACTGGAAGCCCCACCGAAGGCCCAAATGCCAGCGTTCGCATGCGGCCGCCGCACCCATGTTGGCACACCCCTCACACGTTTCGTGGCCCCACAGGGAGCCCCACCGAAGGCCCAAATGCCAGCGTTCGCATGCGCCCACCGCATTCACATTGGCACACCCATCGCACGTTCCGTGGATCCATAGGGAGCCCCACGGAAGGCCCAAATGACAGCGTTCGCATGCGGCCACCGCGCCCATTTTGGCACACGTCTCACACGTTCCGTGGCCCCAAAGGGAGCCCTACCGAAGGCCCACATGCCAGCGTTCGCATGCGGCCACCGCACCCTTTTCGGCACACGCCTCACACGTTTCGTGGCCCCACAGGGAGCCCCACCGAAGGCCCAAATGCCAGCGTTCGCATGCGCCCACCGCACTCATTTTGGCATCCCTCACACGTTTCGCGAGCTCATAGGGAGCTCCCTCGAATGCGGTGCATACGTCGACGGTATCCACGAGCAGCATATCGTTGGGTCATTGGCCGTTTTCGTTATATTTCTCCATACGATGTATATATAAGAATATATGTATATGTATAGGTATTCGAGTATGTATTTGTTGTTGTATCTATATATGTATCTCTCTCCCGCCCTCCCTCTCTTTCTCTCTCTCTCTGTGTCGATGTATATATATACACATGTTTAGATCTACAGATGTACATGATCTACTGTTTTTGCCTTTCAGTCCACAGACAACACTTCACAGGGATCAGTCTCCCCAGCGGCTCAGCAGAGCTCTTGCTAACATGTCGCCGATGCGAGCCCACAGGTCTTCTCCTCGCTTCCAGTACGTCCACTGCTCAGGCCGCACTCGGCGCCGCATCGCGATGGTATCCACTTTGTGCGTGAGCTTGCCGAGGTGTGCGCGCATGTGAGACCAAAAGCTATCTATGATCTGGGTTCCTGACGTCGCGTGCACCGTCTCGCCGCTGGGGAGCTTGTGGCTCACCATCCTCGAGCATTTCGGTTTGATCCACATTGCCTTCCCCTGCTTGACGACTTCCTTTTTCATGTGCACGACATTGTCGTGAAGAACTCCAGGGATGCGTAATTTGTACGCGCGGGCCCCATCCGTGTGGAGCAGCACGGTGCGGTTCTTCAGGTGCTTGTCAGCAATATGTTTCCACTCGCGCTTGCGGATCGGCCCTGGCCTAGGAGCACGACGGGTCGTGCGGCTGGGGACCAGACCCCGGCACCCCTGGATCGCCCCGACGATCGATCGTTGGCCGCAAATCGAAGATGCAGCGAGGCGATTGGTCTCCAGATCGGGCGACCCCAAAGCGCGCCGCCCTGAGGGGGGCGCAGTGCGGTCTCGAACGATCACGCAGGCGCGATCGAATGATCACTTATGACTTAACAGTCGCAATCGCAGGTTCAGACCAGCTAGGACAGCTGAGCGCGGCGCGGAGGAGGGTCAGTGTCTCTGGCGCTGACACCAACGACCGCATCCACAGTGGTGACACCTTCGCTGCAAGATCGTCCAGAGCCTTGACGGGCAAGTCCAGGAAGGAATTGCACCGACGTCGTCGACATTGCTGGAGATCTCCACCGGCCTGGTTCTAGTCGGCTTCGGAAAGCACCGCACGATCTTGCAGGCCGCTGCGTATGGGAACTTGACCGTGCGATCGAACCCATCTGCTCTGCAAGGCTCATCGGCTCGCCAACCAGTGCTTCTGGGGCCGCCAGCGATGCGGATGGAGTGGTAGGTCTGATGCAGAGCGGTAGGCCCCAGGTGAGATCGGACAAACCCCTCCGACCTCGCTTGAGACACGAAGCCAAGCTAAGCTAAGACGTGTACCCCTGTGCCTGTAAGGTCCGCGAGGGGTAAAGATGCGAATTCAAAAATCCAACATCAATTTATCAGACCTGGTTGTCTTTTTGGGGACCGAAGCCAAGATAAGCTAAGATGCGTATCCCTGTGCCTATGGGATGTGGCCCACCACGGCCGTGAACCTGCGCCGGTAAGGGCCGCGAGAGGTAAAGAGGCAAATTCAAAAATCCAACATCAAGCTATCAGATCTGTTTGTCTCTTTGGGGACCGAAGCCAAGATAAGCTAAGATGCGTATCGCTGTGCCTAAGGGGTGTGGCCCACCGCGGCCGTGAACCTGCGCCGGTAAGGGCCGCGAGAGGTAAAGAGGCAAATTCAAAATCCAACATCAGGTTATCAGACTGTTCTGTCTCTTTGGGGACCGAAGCCAAGATAAGCTAAGATGCGTATCCTTGTGCCTAAGGGGTGTGGCCCACCACGGCCGTGAACCTGCGCCGGTAAGGGCCGCGAGAGGTAAAGAGGCAAATTCAAAAATCCAACATCAAGTTCTCAGACCTTTCTGTCTCTTTGGGGACTGGAGCCAAGATTCTTGATGTGGCCCACCACGTCCGTGAACCTGCGCCGGCAAGGGCCGCGATCGGTAAAGAGGCAAATTCAAAAATCCAACATCAAGCTATCAGATCAGATCTGTTTGTCTCTTCGGGGACCGAAGCCAAGATAGGCTAAGATGTGTATCCCTGTGCCTAAGGGATGTGGCCCACCACGGCCGTGAACCTGCGCCGGAATGGGCCGCGAGAGGTAAAGACCTAAATCAACTTACCAGACCTTTTTGTCTCTTCTTGGGGACCGAAGCCAAGATAAGCTAAGATGCGTATCGCTGTGCCTAAGGGATGTGGCCCACCACGGCCGTGAACCTGCGCCGGCAAGGGCCGCGATCGGTAAAGAGGCAAATTCAAATCCAACACGAAGTTATCAGACCTTTTTGGATCTTTGGGGGTTGAAGCCAAGATAAGCTAAGATGTGTATCGTTGTGCCTAAGGAGCGTGGCCCACCACGGCCGCGGCGCTCCTGGCCGAAGGGAAGCAGAGAGAGAGAGGGAAAGATCTCAGGATCATCAGTTTTTCTTCCGCGCATTCAAAAACAACAGAATGTTCCATGAGCAAGTTGTTAGCTGTTCTACACAGAAGGCGCGGGACACACTATACAAACGCAGCAGGACATGTAATCTTCCTTGCGCCGCGCTGCCAGGGCCGCGTCAAGCAAGCTCTCGGCTATCACGTGCGGGTCGTAACTGTGCGCGGAGTCGCGGATGACACATTGGATGTCGTTGCCGGGGAGGTTCTCCCGCAATCCGTCCGACCCCACCACACTGATGTCGCCGTTTTCGACAGGCTGGGTGTTTGTATCGCATTTCGACATCAAACTGGCCACATGTGGAATGTCGATGAAAGACCCCTTCTGGTGCATGAACAACTGGTTGGGCAGCGGGCGCCGTCTGGCAGCACTGCATCACGCTGCGGACGAGTGGCCCAGTGAAGGTACCAAGACCCAGTGGTCCAGTTCTGGCGGAGGAGGAATATCTTACACTCGCCCAAAATTGCCGTTGTCATCTTCCTCCCCTGAAGCGAAGCGCAAGCCATTGTTGTTGATCTGGGTTCTTTGCATTCCAAGACGGAGGCGCCGATTAGGCACTTCAGTCAGTTACCGGCCTGCAACTGGTAAGGCTTGCAAGCGTCGCCGAGCTTCGCCCGCAGCCCCTTGTCGAAAAACTTTTTTTTGGTACGGAGACACGCGCGTATTGCGCGCAGTGAGGACGTGTCGGATGTTGTCCCGTAGCTCTTGTGGAAACGTTGCTGGTTCGATGCCAATGTCGGCCACCCCGGACACGCCGTCCAACGCAAGCACCCCGAAGGGGCGGCTGAACGTCATGTCGGTGTTGAGCGCGCCAGAGAGAGCCTTCCCATGCGACTGCGGCTTGCAAGAAGCGGTCTTCAGCAGGAATGCCATGGGCCATGGCAGCAAGGTGT